CTTTATATACTTTATCATTATATTGCATTAGATTTTAATTTTATAAAAGTTTGCAAATATATAAATACAGAAGATTTCCAATGTTAAACATCTAAAATTGAAGATAAAACATTTTTGAATTTTTTTTTTTTTTTAAAAATAAGTTCTCCAAAAAATGCTTTACCATCTAATAACACTTCATCACCCAATAACGCTTCACTATCCAATAACACTTCACCACCCAATAATACTTCATCATCCAATAATGCTTCACCACCCAATAACGCTTCACCACCAAATAATGCTTCATCACCAAATAATGCTTCATTACCAAATAATGCTTCACTACTCAATAATCCTCACTCCTAATTGTTTAATACTAAAATAGCAGCTACTAACAATAATTCCTCTGATGATTTTTCAAATACAGTAAAAAGCATTTATAGCATTTATAATACTTTTTCTAAGATAAAAACTCGATCACCAATGTCCTTAACACTTTGTTCAGAATCACACCAATCTTTCTGCCAACTATCACAATCTGTTTAGCCTTTTCACCAGCCCTCTCGTTCTCAACAAACATCCGAAATAATGATAGAGATCATTCCTTATCATCACAGCACTGTTCTCATAGATCACAAGACAGATCACAAGAAAGATGATCAGCCAATCAAAATCAGCCACAAAATTTGAATGGTAATTCTATATATAAGTCTTTTTTTTTTTTTTTACTTTTGAATGCCATACTTTTGTACTTTTTTTTTTCTTTTTTATTAAAGTTTTTTTTTTCTTTCTTACAAAAGTTTTTTTTTTGCTTTCTTATGAAAGTTTTTTTTTCTTTCTTATGAAAGTTTTTTTTTTTTTTAAACAAATCTTTTGAATTGAAGAATGTACACGTAATAGCTGCCATGCTGTTGACGAACAGCTTTTCATCCAAAATCGCGCCCTGTACATCCTAGTCCAGGAACTTTGTAACATGTAAAAGACATCAAAGCCGAATTGCAATGGCAAAGAAGAGAGCACACAAACGATCTTTTTTCTCAAGTATTGGAAGTAAGTGCTTTAGTCTAATTATAAGTTTTAAAGGTACACCTAAGCTGATGTCTTAAAATTTAGGACGTATATACAAATGTAGTAAAGCATCTCTTTCCACACCATATATATTCCTCGCAAAGTACACTTAAGAAAGCCATGAAGGACTACCTGAATGAAGTATATCTAGATTACATGTCCAAAATAAGTGCAAATGATTTCACAAATCACTTCTATGGTGAATAGTGTAGTGCTATATGTTGAATATTATTATTTTTGTTATCATTAATTTATATGTTTTTATTTATTTATTATTTATTTGTTGTTTTGCGTTCATTATCGCTTGTAATCGTTTAATTTTTTTTAATAGGTTAATTAACTTTTTTGTCTTATTATGTTTACTAGTTATTACAGAAAATGAAAAATTACTGTAGTGTGGCACTACAAAATGTTCGAAATTCCATTTGGAAGGTTTTTAGATATAAAAAGCTTTCTCTCTAAAAAGCAATGCTGCTGCAGCAGAAATTATGAAGTGGAAGCAGAGTGATCAGGTTGCCACTTGTTTTTACTCCCTATTCCAGCAAAATGATGATGGTGTGTATTGGGTGGCAGTTATCACAAGGACTGCTTTTTTCACGATTGCAGTACCTAATTTATCAAATGAATACTGTGCATTCGCATTAGCTGTGTGTGATATATTGTTGAATCCACGATCGTGTAAGATCGTATGTACAGTAAATAGTATGAAATGCCATATGGCAAAGTATTTGGTAAGTATTTAATTATATATCGCTTCATATCACTTTATATTGATTCAATATTAATTGGTTTGCATTGGCTTTTGCATTATAGGATAATTTCAATGAAGGAGGCCCCTTCTATGAATCTGCTGAAGCATTAATAGACAATGAGTTAGAGAAAGACAGTAAAAAATCATGACCAACTACTCCATGTTATAACTCCGAACCTAAGCAAACATTACAAGTATCATAATCCAATTTGATGCAACTTTCACAAGAAGAGTTGGATGAATTGTTCACACCCTATTAAAAGTGGCATTTTTATTTTTTGTCTTTGCATTATGTGTTGCTAATCTTTAATATATGTAATATATATTTTTTTTTAAATATTAAGGTGAGTACTTGCGACCCAGGATTTTATTAATAGTACATTTAGCTAATGGTTGCATTACAATCATAGGAGGCAATCATGGAAAGAGTGTACAACTAGCCACTTGTACAACTTTAGTCATTATCTAATTTAAGTAGTCTGCCTGAAGGTTCTACACT